GATCCCAGTCCCAGAGAAGACGGGCCTGACAAATTCCATGAATGATAAGGGGGGCATGACTGGAAAAGTTTGCACACCACTGCCCTAGCATAAATGAGAACAGTCAGGAGTGGCTCTACTTTGTGGTCTTCTCCTCCCAGGACTATGGACTAGTCATCTGAGTTCAGTATGAAAAATTCCCCTCATGACCATGGCATGCCCTTGCACTGGAGTCATGAGGGGAACTGCACAGTGACTGCATTGGGGAAATTCTCCCCCATGTGGCTGTGCAGCTTTTATTGTTAGTCAACACCCTTTGTGCTGACACTGGGGCATAGAGGAGCCATAGTGGAAGCTAGAATTTCACTTAGATCAGAAAAAGAAAAGGAGTACTTGTGGCACCTTGGAGACTAACCAATTTATTTGAGCATGAGCTTTCGTGAGCTACAGCTCACTTCATCAGATGCACACCGTGGAAACTGCAGCAGACTTTATATATACACAGAGAATATGAAACAATACCTCCTCCCACCCCACTGTCCTGCTGGTAATAGCTTATCTAAAGTGATCATCAGGTGGGCCATTTCCAGCACAGATCCAGGTTTTCTCACCCTCCACCCCCCCACACAAATTCACTCTCCTGCTGGTGCTAGCCCATCCAAAGTGACAACTCTTTACATAATCAAGTCGGGCTATTTCCTGCATAAATCCAGGTTTTCTCACATCCCCCCCACCCCCATACACACACAAACTCACTCTCCTGCTGGTAATAGCTCATCTGAACTGACCACTCTCCAAGTTTAAATCCAAGTTAAACCAGAACATCTGGGGGGGAGGGGTAGGAAAAAACAAGAGGAAACAGGCTACCTTGCATAATGACTTAGCCACTCCCAGTCTCTATTTAAGCCTAAATTAATAGTATCCAATTTGCAAATGAATTCCAATTCAGCAGTTTCTCGCTGGAGTCTGGATTTGAAGTTTTTTTGTTTTAAGATAGCGACCTTCATGTCTGTGATTGCGTGACCAGAGAGATTGAAGTGTTCTCCGACTGGTTTATGAATGTTATAATTCTTGACATCTGATTTGTGTCCATTTATTCTTTTACGTAGAGACTGTCCAGTTTGACCAATGTACATGGCAGAGGGGCATTGCTGGCACATGATGGCATATATCACATTGGTGGATGTGCAGGTGAACGAGCCTCTGATAGTGTGGCTGATGTTATTAGGCCCTGTGATGGTGTCCCCTGAATAGATATGTGGGCACAATTGGCAACGGGCTTTGTTGCAAGGATAAGTTCCTGGGTTAGTGGTTCTGTTGTGTGGTATGTGGTTGTTGGTGAGTATTTGCTTCAGGTTGCGGGGCTGTCTGTAGGCAAGGTCTGGCCTGTCTCCCAAGATTTGTGAGAGTGTTGGGTCATCCTCCAGGATAGGTTGTAGATCCTTAATAATGCGTTGGAGGGGTTTTAGTTGGGGGCTGAAGGTGACCGCTAGTGGCGTTCTGTTATTTTCTTTGTTAGGCCTGTCCTGTAGTAGGTAACTTCTGGGAACTCTTCTGGCTCTATCAATCTGTTTCTTTACTTCTGCAGGTGGGTATTGTAGTTGTAAGAAAGCTTGACAGAGATCTTGTAGGTGTTTGTCTCTGTCTGAGGGGTTGGAGCAAATGCGGTTGTATCGCAGAGCTTGGCTGTAGACGATGGATCGTGTGGTGTGGTCAGGGTGAAAGCTGGAGGCATGCAGGTAGGAATAGCGGTCAGTAGGTTTCCGGTATAGGGTGGTGTTTATGTGGCCATTGTTTATTAGCACTGTAGTGTCCAGGAAGTGGATCTCTTGTGTGGACTGGACCAGGCTGAGGTTGGTGGTGGGATGGAAATTGTTGAAATCATGGTGGAATTCCTCAAGGGCTTCTTTTCCATGGGTCCAGATGATGAAGATGTCATCAATATAGCGCAAGTAGAGTAGGGGCTTTAGGGGACGAGAGCTGAGGAAGCGTTGTTCTAAATCAGCCATAAAAATGTTGGCATACTGTGGGGCCATGCGGGTACCCATAGCAGTGCCACTGATCTGAAGGTATTCATTGTCCCCAAATGTGAAATAGTTATGGGTAAGGACAAAGTCACAAAGTTCAGCCACCAGGTTAGCCGTGACATTATCGGGGATAGTGTTCTTGACGGCTTGTAGTCCATCTTTGTGTGGAATGTTGGTGTAGAGGGCTTCTACATCCATAGTGGCCAGGATGGTGTTATCAGGAAGATCCACGGTATGCATCTGATGAAGTGAGCTGTAGCTCACGAAAGCTCATGCTCAAATAAATTGGTTAGTCTCTAAGGTGCCACAAGTACTCCTTTTCTTTTTGCGAATACAGACTAACACGGCTGTTACTCTGAAACTTAGATCAGAGACTATCCCAGATGGAAAGAATGAAAATGGGATAAAAGCATGGGGATTAAAAATGTCAAATGGAAAAGAAATAAAAGAATGACACACATTTAAGGTTAAATAACTTTTTATTTAATTCAAGCTCTTACATTTTATTGTATCTTCCTGGCAGGAAAGTGGGAATTGAAAGAAGAAGAAAAGTGTGGATTTTATCAATTTAGCCTTCATAACATCCCCTTCTTCAGTCTTCTGCCATCATGAATAGCTGACAGAATTTCTGTTACCATTTGGCTTGATAATTTTTGTCAATTTTTGAAAATGAGGATGGTCCAGTTAGATGAGGTAGGGTGATGTGATTTGCAAGGTCCAATGTTAGGACTGTAAGGAACCCTCACCATATTCAGTGGCCCATGGGAGGGTATGGATGACTGTGGTGTACGCTGGTGTGTTTAGCTGGTAACTGTTCTGACTTTTTTTTAGTCTACAGAGGCAACTGTCATTTTGTAAGGCAGAAGTGATGCACTGCATTACAGAGGGGACATACATTGTTGTGACTTTACATGGATTCATTCTTTTGTTTTGTTGTTTCCCCTTTAGCCAAAAGAAAGTCATGTTGTTATTTGTACACAGGAAAAAAAAGGCTGTCAATTAATCGCAGTAATCTCAAACAATTAACATAAAACAAATTAACTCAAAAAATTAATCATGATTAATCGCAGTTTTAATCACACTGTTAAACAATACTAGAATATCAATTAAAATTTATTATAAATATTTTTGGATGTTTTTCTACATTTTCAAATATACCGATTTCAATTACAATACAGAATACAAAGGGAACAGTGCTCACTTCATATTATTATTTTTTATTACAAAAATAATGTAATAAAGATAAACACTGTAATAAAGATAAACAAAAGAAATAGTATTTTAATTCACCTAATACAAGTACTCTAATGAAATCTCTTTATCATGAAAGTGAAACATACAAATGTAGATTTTTTTATATATATAACTGCACTCAAAAACAAAACAATGTAAAACGTTAGAGCCTACAAGTCCACTCAGTCCTACTTCTTGTTCAGCCAATTGCTAAGACAAACAAGTTGTTTACATTTACAGGAGATAATGCTGCCTGCTTCTTATTTACAATGTCACCTGAAAGTGAAAACAGATGTTCGCATGGCACTGTTGTAGCTGGCGTTGCAAGGTATTTATATGCCAGATATGCTAAACCTTCATATGCCCCTTCATGCTTCGACTTGTAGATTGCACTATATTTTGTTTATCTTTTTTTACAGTGGAAATATTTGTAATCAACAATAATATAAAGTGAGCACTCTACACTTTGTATTCTGTGTTGTAATTGAAATGAATACATTTGAAAATATAGAAAAACATCCAAAAATATTTATAATAAATTTAAATTGGTATTCTATTGTTGTTTAATGTGGCAATTAAAACTGTGATTAATTGCAATTAATTTTTAATCATTTGACAACCCTAAAAAAAATACTAACAAACTATATCCTTCATCAAGCACACTGCTGTTACTTAGAAAAATGCAGTCCCAAATTTTCAACTGACCATGCACTTGATGCATAAGTTAGGACTCCAAGCAAAACTTGCTACACTTTTTTAAGAATATATTCATCAGTCCTACATGAATGAGCCCAGCAATTTGCATTCATATATATCAGTCAAGACTCCACTTTGAATTTCCTATACTCTTAATTGGTAGAAATAAGCGTTTCCTCTAAAAAATGGTGTCTGGTGTTCATTTTGTTCAGAAATTGTTTGTAACCATATTTGTTTCAATTAAGTGTCACCATCCAGTACTTTGTTGCTTTTTTTTTTTTTCATGATTTCTGTAGTAATTTGTAATACTTTGTTATAGCTCAGCATGGTACATTTATAATGTAATAAAATGTCTCTTGGGGTATTCACTTTAATTACTTTAGAAATCCTTGTTAACTTGCAATGACACATCATATCAAGTACCCCACATAAAGCAAATTTTATTCCATTGTGGTTCAGATTTTCTGACTGCACTTGAAGCAAGGATGTCTGAAAACTTCTGCTTCGTAAACTGTAATAACAAATTATATAACAAATACTGCAGTATTTATAACAAATACTGCAGTAAATAAATGCTGCACAATCAAGTGGTGGATCCCCAATGGCTGGAAGTCACTGGACAAGATTTGCAGGAGGGTATGGTGCCAGTAGCCATCATCTTTCACTAATATTGAACCAGCCAGTACAGCCTAGAAAGTCAGCAAGACTGGTAGGTTTGGCCAAGGCAGCCAAGAGATGTCTTTATTCAAGTCATCTTCTGAACAGCCTTGATTAGCAAGGACTCCTGTAGAATCTTGGAGCCCCCTACCCTGGTTGAACCTCTTAAGGGGGTGATGTCAGGAATGGTCTACCTAATACTTAGTCCTGCCTTAAATGCAGGGGACTGGACTAACGGACCTACTGAGGTCCCTTCCAATTGTATACCTCTATGATTCTATGGAATGAACAATTCCTGCCCTTACCTGGGGGAGGAATCCTTGTCTAGGGTGCAGCAGCCCACTTAGGTGCAAGGGGGTGACGCCTATCCCCACTGCACTCACTGTGACAACTCAGTCTGGAAAAGGGTAGTTTAAATGCACACAGCTGTTTTAATACAACATTCTGGTGGAGCTTCTAATTGCACAAAGCTCAAGTTACATAAGGTACAAAGACAGAGGAATATAGCAGGACAAAACATAACAGGATTATGTAAGTTATGACTGTGCCACACACAGGACCTGATTCTCCTCTCACATGTTTGACAGTAATGTAACTGCACTACTTTCAAGTTGAGTTACTCATGATTTATGCTGGTGGAAGTGAGATCTGGATAAGACCAACACACATTAACTGACATCTTCCATGGGCTCCAGATGTAAGTTACCCCAATTTATACTCTTATGGCCATAAAACAACGTAACATATGCCAATTTGCACATGACGTATGAACTTGCCCCACAAAGTGCTGTAACCAGGAGTCTCAGCAATTTGTGGTGTGGAGGAAGTTAGTCAAGGAAGACTGGAGGTTATGAAAGGGGGAAATTTCTGGGTAGAGAAGGAAGGGGGTGGGTCAGGGTGACAAGTACAGAAGCCCAGAGCTGCTTATATAGAGACAAAGCTTCCTACTAGCTTACCCATTGCTGTTCCTTTCATATCTTCACTCCAGGGACCAGTTGTCATCCATTGCAACATGTGGGCAAAGGTATTGCTTTCTTTTTCTGCATTTTAAGTTTGTGTCTTCATTTTAACCTTTTGTATCTTTGCTGTACATTCTTCAGTAGGCTCCTGTGGGGCCTGTAGTTCATCTGCTTTAGGTTTCATATGTTCTTCAACAAAGAAAAGAAAAGAAAAGCAAAGAAAAGAAAAGAGGGAGAAAATCACACAGATTTGATACACAAAAGTGTATTCCTTCTTTGTTCCATCAATATATTAGCCAGAGTGAATCCTGTTATTCGGACACATGAATTTCTGAGAAGACAGTGGGTAAGGGGAGTAATCAGGGAGCTGTGGCTGTTGGGGGATTTTGCTCTGTTGGTGTATTGGGGAATTCTGCTCAACAGAATGATTTAATCATTGTGCTATAAATTAGACCCATCTTGGAAAACAAGGAACCCAAATCAGAACTATTTTTTGTAGCATTATATTTCACCTTTCCTTTTTAAAGTATTTTCAGTGACTTTAATTCTTGGGGAAGGTACCAGGTTGACAGTCTGGTGAATGAAGTATGGTATTTATTCTCAAAACATCTGGTCCCCATAGACAGCAGCAATGGAAGCCGATCCACAACACCCTCACAATATCAGTCCTGTTCTGGAAAGAACACCTCGAGGGCTGAAAAGTCTCTGTGCATTTTATCACTGGCCTTTTCTACTCAGACTGACCAACAGGGTCTCAACTCCTACCAGCTGTCATGGTGGTTTCTGTGATACAGACAATTGGCCTCCAAGATCTGGACTGATAATACCAAACTAGTTTCACATCTATCTGGTAGTTATAGCCCCCATTGCCATAGTATTTGAGCACCTTGCTGTCTTTAATGCATTTATCCTTACAACACCCTTGTGAGGTAAGGAAGTGCTATTCATCCCTATTTTACAGATGGGGAACTGAAGCACAGAGAGACTAAGGCCCAATTTTTTAAAGGTATTGAGCTGTTGCTCTGCTTGGCATTACAAGGTCTAAGTGACTTAGAATTTACAACCCTGGCTGCAGTATAGACATACCCTAATTCAGGCAGCCATGTGTGCACTAGCTTCCATCAAGCCAGCACACTAAAAATAGCACTCTATCTGTGGCCGTGTGGACACCCAGGTATAGGAGGAACCATGGAGAGCATCTGTCCCTCCAATAAAGTGCATAATTCCAGAACTATTGATACCACTATGAAAAGTATACATCGTAATGTGAGAATTTCTGTCTGAAGTACTGTAATAGCATTGAGATGCTATTGACCCAGTGGCTCATGATGACCAGCTGCACCTCCATGCCAAGACTTCTTGTATCACCCAAGGTTCTATCCTCACCCCAATCCAAGTTAACATTGTGGGGAGATTGTGAGGTGTCACTGATTTCAGTGCCAGCAATAGTTGGATGAAGCCAATCTCTGCTTGGCACATTGAAGGAAATGCAAACAACTCCCACTTCTCCCAGTGCTAGAACCAGATTAACTCCTGAATTAAGACTGATACTAAACCTGGGCAACATAGAGGTGATGGGCTGGAAGCTCCACTCTGCTTATGCAGTGCAAAGTGAACTTAGATAGCCAGGAGAAACCCTATGGAGAATTCTTGAGGTGTAGAGAGAATCTCCATCTGGTATAAAGCAGGCAGCGGGGGCTTTGCTGTCTCTTGCACAGGCTCTACCATCTACTAATGACACTTCCTCCATCAAAGCTGCATTGTCTGGCGTAAATGGAGGAGGGGCCATGTTGTGGGCAAGGAGAGGGTGTGTTGGGTGAGGGCTGGTAAGGTGTAGGTCAAAGGGGACGAAGGGGTCAGGTGAGGAGGTATGCTGGAGTGAGGTGCTGTTGTATCTGATTCTCTGTTACTCCCCCTGCAGCCTTAAGTTATGCCAGAGTTGGACAGAGCAAAATCAGGGAACTGACATCAGATCCCTGTCAGCTCTCACAGTCTATCCTGCACCTGAGCTTTACTTGGAATCAGGGGAGAACTGAACCCATTTCTGGGATGGGGAGGAGGGGATATTTTGAAGAGCCAGCCAACATCATAATCTCACCCTCAATTGAAAAGTCTGCCCTAAAGATGGCAAAATGGTACGCAGCCCTACGGACTCTCTGTTATTAGATGCACAAAGACCAACAAATAGTAGAAATTCCTCCTTCCATCTAAAACTAGCCAAGAAATTATGTCCTAGTTTGACAGATGCAGACTTGACCACAGTGATCTATGCAATCACAACTGGTACTCTTAACCACTGTGAATGAAAGCAGGGGCCTCATCACTTCAAGGATTACATTTCTATTTCTTCTCCATAACTTCCCCACCACGCAATAAAAATAATTAAAGGATATGAAAAGCACAAGGTGGATGAGGTAATATCTTTTATTTGACCAACTTCTGTTGGTGGAAGAGACAAGCTTTTGAACTCCACAGAGCTCTGCAAAACTTTCACAAACAGAAGTTGGTCTAATACCTCCCCCGACCTTTTCGCTTCCATCCTGGGACATACATACTTACAACAACACTGCAAAAATACATTGAAGTATGACAATGAGAGAAGGAAGCAAGAGTGGGTGTTGAAAGGAGATGGAGAAAGAGAAATAAACATATTCCCATATGCTTACTGGAAAAGAGGGGAAGTGAATCAAAACTCAGCTAACTTAAACCTTCGGTTGACTTTATGTAATTTGTGTAAATCAGTCATCTACAGAGTGATGGAAGCAATATAAATTATTGGTGAGTAAAGCCACAACATTAAAAGTCCCATATTTTAGACTTGAAAGAATAAAAGCAAAACAATTTAGTAGAAATAAAATGTTGGAGATTTTTAATGTTTTCTTTTAAATTAAGACCTCTATTTTTCCCCCAGACCGTCACTGAAAATTTTGCTAATGTTATCCATGGTTTGAATGCAAGCCACCTGACAGATCTAGTCATTCAGAGAAGCAAACGGATGATCCTGGATACTCTGGGAGTGGGATTGCTGGGTACCAGCACGGATGTCTTCCACAAAGTTACACAATACAGTAAAGTAAGATGCTTGAACTTCACATTACAGAAAAGTTGTAGCTAAAAGAAAATTGAGGAAAAAGTAAATTTAAGATATGAAGGAAAAATTCCCAGAGCTCTGTTAGATGGTGGAATAGTTCCCTTGGAGGTAGAGAAGCTCCATTGCTTGAGTTACTTAAACTTACGCTGGACAAAGCACTAGAAAGTATGCTGTATGGTAAATCTCTGCAGACCAAGCAGAGCATAGACTAGCTAACCTACCAGGTCCTTTCTCTCACATCTGAGATTCTAGGAAAGATATTAGCAAAACAAACAATATTAAGAAGACAGTTCTACAATGTTATAATGCACAGGATACAGGAATATTAAATACACAACATTGTTAAAGTCATTTCTACTATATAATATACTGCTATATAGAAACTTTGGCTCTGGTTCCCCTCCAATCTCCTGTCCTTTACACAAGGGAAACTCTTTGCACTTCAGTGGTGTTAGGATATAGATATTCAGGCCTGTCTGTAACAGCCTATACTCTAATAATTTAGGTGTATTCTTATCACTTGGCTAGTTAGAGGTATAAAAGAAAGAATCAAAATCACTGTCTGCCAGTGTAAGGTCCTTCTCTTACTGTGACAGTCTGAGGCCCTGTTCTTAGGCTAAGGCCTTTGGCTAAGCAACAGAGGCAGCCATAAGCTGGGAAGCGACCGGTCACCTCCTCACATTCCAAACTAGTCACATTGAAATAAGGTGCTATTGGGCTGTTAGTAATACAATCCTGTCCTGATAGTGCCTATCACCTCCAGAGAAAGGGAAGTGCCTAGAAAATGTAAAAGGAAACTTAGTTTGATAGCATCCTGTCTGGCAAGAACTCGCTTATCAATAGCTGGGATGTAAAATCCTCACTTCTGTATTGTTTTGTCATTATAGTTCCCACTTTGCTATTGTTTGTCTGTATAATCTCTGTCTGGTTCTGTGATTGTTCCTGTCTGCTGTATAATTAATTTTGCTGGGTGTAAGCTAATTAAGGTGTGGGATATAATTGGTTACATAATCATGTTACAATATGTTAGGATTGGTGAGTTAAATTTTAGGAAAATGATTGGTTAAGGTATAGCTAAGCAGAACTCAAGTTTTACTATATAGTCTGCAGTCAGTCAGGAAGTGGGTGTGGGTGTGTGGGGGGAGGAAATGGGAACAGGGAATGGGGGTAGTGAAATTGGAATCATGTTTTGCTAAAGGGGGAAATGGGAACAGGGAATGGGGGGGTGAATTGGAATCATGTTTTGCTAAAGGGGGAAATGGGAACAGGGAATGGGGGGGTGAATTGGAATCATGTTTTGCTAAAGGGGGAAATGGGAACAGGGAATGGGGGTGGGGAAATTGGAATCATGTTTAACTAAGGGCAGGAATGGGAACAGGGCCACAGGTAAGGCTCTGTGGTATCAGAGTTGGGAAGGGGGACACTAAGGAAGGAAACTGGAATCATGCTTGCTGGAAGTTCTCCCCAATAAACATCAAATTGTTTGCGCCTTTGGACTTTGGATATTGTTGCTCTCTGTTCATGCGAGAAGGACCAGGGAAGTAAGAGGTGACGTTCTTGAGGCTTTCCTCTCCCATGAGAGGGTTCAAATTCAGTCCCAAAAAGTCAGATTCTGATGTTAGTTAGAGCAGCATGGATGCTGATTAACTACGTTACTAAAACTAACTCCATTACCAAAATACTCTGTTACCTTCAAGGAAATTACTCTGCATGTACACTGGTGTTAGTGTGATCAGAATCTGGCCCTGTGTTTCTGCACCCTTTGGTTATTCTGATTACTCCACTGATTTAATCTCAACAGCTGGTAAAGATAATTGCTTTGTAAATAATGAAAACAGTAAGAGTGAGGCACAATGTATTGTCTTATGCTTGAGTTCAGTATTTTACATTAAATGATATCAAATTACTCCCAGATCTACCATTCAGATGCATCCAGCACGGTTTGGGGTCACTCGGATTTCAGACTTCCTCCTCCGTATGCAGCTTTTGTGAACGGAATAGCTGTAAGAAACATCTTTTCTCTCTATTCTACATCAGCTTTTATATGCTATATGCAGTGATATTTTACATTTATTTTCACTACATTTGTTAATTTACTTCATCCTTATTATTATTAATAATAATATACAGCATTTTGAGTCAACATCTAGGCAAAACAGGAGCTTTTCTGGAGTTAGGACTGATGCCAGATTTACAGCCACTATAAAACTCCCCTAGACTGTCCTACCAATGTGCCTCAACTTTATTCCGGGGACCAATTTTTAAGGGTGAAATAGGATAGTTCATTGTCCATCTTATGACACTTGTATTGTAATAGTATGTAGGGGCCATAATCAAAGGTGAGGGCCCCATTGTGCTAGGCACTGTACTTACATGTCACACAAAAAAATCTAGCTCCCACTGATTTCAATGTGACCCAGATTTCACACACAGCAGGCAATAATATAGAAAGTCATACACACACACAGTATCATAGCAATCACAAATATATTTAAGAAAATATTCTAATCTTTAGTCACACATGTTGATAAAAACCATACATTTTGTACTTGCTCCATTTTATCAATAAAGTCATGATTGGCTCCTCAGAAATTTAGCCCAAATTCAGACCCAATCTGAAGTCAATGGCATTCCACCCACTTACACCAGATTTGAATTAGACCTATTTTGAATTATGCAAAGCTAGTGAAGGTGCCAATCTGGGGAAATGGTATATTAGGAATGCCCAAACTAGTGTGACAATGAGGTCATAAGTCAAATCAGACCTCTCATTTCAAATGGAGGAAAAATTATTTTTGACATGACACTTAGCACCCCTAATGGTCTAGAAGGTATTCAAGTATGACAGTTAATACATTCAGAATGTCCAAATCCTATATATGATAATTCCTTCATTCATCATGGTCATAAGTCAAACACAAGACCGCGCTGAACATCAAAGGAAAATTGGTTTACCAGTAGCATAAGGCATAACCTTCAGCTCCCATTAGGACAGGATGTTTTCATAGGATCATAGAACAGGATCATAGAATATCAGGGTTGGAAGGGACCTCAGGAGGTCATCTAGTCCAATAGCTGACCTCAAAACTATTCAGGGCAGGAACAGTGTCTACTTCTGTTTGTACAGCATGAAACACAACAAGGACCTGACAGGCTCTCTGTGTTACCATAATGATGGGTGACATTGTTAGTGAGCCCTGTATTTAGATTGTCTGATATATTCCATTATAAAAGATTCTTGCCACCTTTCTTGAGATGGGCTAACACATACTTTGTGTGCAGCAGGCCTTTGGAATGTGGCAAGGTAATAGTCTGTAAGCAAGAAAAGTGTCTTTTGTCCCTTTAATTCCATCCAGGTTTTGCAGAGATATAAACTGTTAAAAACATCCCTTCCCTGTGGGGCTCAAGTTCTGAAGGGAAAAATTTGGCAGCCTGCCAGAATAACAACTGAAGACACAAACATTCTAAAGTACAGGACTCATGATGCCGCTACAGTAGCAGAAACTGTACCTGGAAACACCTGTGAGCTGCCAGGGCAGCTGGAGTGGGGTTGAGGAACCAGCCCAGACTGCATTGGACCCCTCCCTCCCCACCCCAAATACTCCATGGATGCAGCACATGACCCCACAGGGCCAATGGCCATCCTAACTCTGGGATAACAGCCTTCTCCTGGTACCAGCTGTTGCTCAAGAGGTAGAAATCTGTTGTGAGGGGCTGAAACCCCACTGATGATACAAGTTGGGGAGGTGGCTACGGTTACACATAACAGGTTTTTTCACCTTTTCCTTTTCCCAGAACCTAAGCGATTACATAGAAAAAGCTACATTATTTAGAATGCAAAGCCAAGCACTCGTGAGCTAGGAGATGCCAGTTTACAGTTGCCCATGCCATTTTAATTCTAGCTCTTGTTCACAAACATGATACAGTCTTTTATTGCATGGTCACATACTATTCTCCTACAAGAACTCTGCTTCCTTTGGAGCACAGAATGGATGCGCAAAGGGGCAGAAATACGATTGGACAGGCAACTGTAAATCTGACATTTCCTAACTTTCTAGTGTTTTGAAACTGAAAACATTCTTTTGGTATGTAATATAAATATTACATAAATAATGTCTGCATTCATAAGCCTACTTCTGTTGTCACTTAGGGCTGGTCTACACTAGAAACATTTTACCAGCATAGCTATGTCAGTTAGGGTTGAGAGTTTTTATAGATATACCAGTATAAGCTCTAGTGTGCAGGCAGTTATATGTAGAGCCCTTGCTTTACGAATATAGCTAATTTCACTTCCTGAACCAAAATAAGCTATGCCAGTATAAGTAATTTTATACCAGTATAACTGTGCCCTCGCAAGGATTTTTTTTTCTGCTTAAATAATATCCATATATTTAAAACAGCAAAGTTTTCTAGAGTAGACAAGCTTTTAGAGTTACACTGCTTTAAAGCTGGTGAAACTGAGATCTGAATCAAGCCCCCTCTCCGCAAAGTATATATTATAATATTCTAATTTTTCATTATCATTTTTGTGCATACCTCAATAAAAAGAAAGCATAAGTAAAAATAAAGATTATCCTGAATGAAAGTTAAATTCTTCAACGTTTATTTATATGTAGTTAAAATCTTTTCATTTGGGATTAGTTGATCTTGTCAAGGCAGACAATGAATCTCTGATTACAAATCGAGGCCTTTCTCTTTCCCATAAGGTTCACTCAATGGATTTTGATGATACATGGCATCCAGCCACACACCCATCTGGGGCTGTGCTTCCTGCTCTGTTTGCTCTATCAGAAGTCCTGCCTCAAAAGCAAAAATTCTCTGGCCTTGACATGCTCTTAGCTTTCAATGTAGGGATTGAAGTACAAGGAAGATTGATGCGCTTTTCCAATGAAGCCAGCAATGTTCCAAAAAGGTATGTAAAGGATATTTGAAATATAGTATTTGGGTCGAATGGAGGTGCTATATTTATTCATTTTTTAATATAATTAAGATTAAGAGGTAAAAGCAATGCTCATTTCCAATCTCCAATTACTTTGTCAGAAACCTCTCCAGAACTGCCTTTTTGTGACACGTTTTTCAAAGTCTGAATAAATTAATTTCTTTCATAGCTAGAGACAATTGGTCACTATCATCTGTTCCACTTCAGGATTCAAAGTCATGAAAGTTGTACAGCTAATCTCATTTTCTGTGTGGTTCTGTCCAGAATTTCAAAAACAAGAATTGAAGCCAATCTTTAAAAACAAAACAAAAAAACCATTCCATTGTAATTTTTGCCTTTTAGCATAATAAATGGCATTGTCTTTTTAGGGTGGGGGCACTGTTTGCTGTGCAGTCAGTGGGACATTTAAAAAGACTCTATTAGCCTTTATATTGATTCAAAATAGTGAAAAGAGAACAATGCTAAGGGGAAAAATCTCAGACTGTCAGTTTTAATCGGACATGGGAATGCATCTGATCAGATCTGAATATGCAAACAGAAGACCATCGGTTGCTCCCACAAATGAAGATTCACCTCTCCCAAGCACTAACCTTCGGCTCAGTATAATCCCAGAGCAAACAGGCTATAGACTGAAGATAGCCTCAAAGCAGTTCAGGAACAAAAAATCCCCTCCACCAGGATGTACGCTTTGCTGTTGCTACCACAGCCTTAGAGTTCTCTTGCTGCTTACTACATATGGAGTAGGGGAGTTAGTGATGTATCACAAAGGGCCACATTCACACAGGTACTTAGGTGTTGGCCCTATGCACTGGGCTATTGGTATTCTAGACATAGGTGGACACACTTTTTCGTGAGAGATCCGAGCCTGTAGGCATGTTCTGAGAATGCCTACAGGATTGGACCTCATTGGCAAGATTGGATAGAAGGACAGACCTGGTTTGAGAAGTCTGCTTCAGGGCCCTGGGTCCTCTGCTTGCACTAGGGCTCCATGCGGCTAATTAGCTGTTGGTGGTGTTAGCTGGCTTTTCACATGCCTGCCAGTGGAAATTCAGATGCCTGCAAGGTAAGTTGGCATTAGAGCAGAGTTTTTTTGAGAATTCCAGTGGTCCTTAATTTTGGTTATATGCTTAAAGAGGCAGCTAGCCACCTCAGTACCTTTGTGAATCTAGTCTAAAGCTATTAAGCCTGCCCTAAAGACTTTGTGCTCTTCCGCCCCACAACAGAACTGCACTCCTTCCACCGTGTTTGGAGGTTCTGAAGAGCTTTTTCTCTGCATTAGTAATAATAATATACAGCATTTTGGGTCAACATCTAGGCAAAACGGGAGCTTTTCTAGAGTTAGGACTACCAGACTGGACCCTGAGCTTTTAAATATATGCTGATTTATGGTCTGATCCAACTCCCACTAATGTCAAAAAGAGTTGGATGAGGTGCTTACAGTGAGTTCTTTCCTAAAATTCATGTCTCTCTCTCTCTGAAATCTGGTAATGAAGAGCATTTTTTTTGTTTGTTTGTTTTCTCAGGTTTCATCCACCAACTGTGGTTGGTACCATGGGGAGTGCAGCAGCTACTGCTAAATTGTTAGCACTTGATCAGTTTAAATGTAAAGCAGCTTTGGCTGTTGCTGCTTCTTATGCAGGTGCCCCAATGGCTAATGCAGCAACACAAACCAAACCCCTCCACATTGGCAATGCAGCTAGGCATGGCCTGGAAGCAGCTTGCTTAGCATCACTGGGTCTTCAAGGAAACAAACAGATCTTGGACATGGAGTCAGGGTTGGGTGCCTTTTATACAGACTATACCCCCCGGTTTCTGCCAACTTTACAATCTTATTCCTGGCTCTTGGATCAACAAGACGTGGCCATCAAGCGCTTTCCTGCTCATCTTGGAACACACTGGGTGGCAGATGCAGTCTCTTCACTGAGGAAGCACCTTGTGGAGAGTGATGAGCCAGTCCCCATTAGTAGAATTAAGAAAATTGTTGTCAAAGTCCCAGATGTTAGATATGTGAACAGACCTTTCCCTAACTCTGAACACGAAGCCCGGCATTCTTTCCAGTTTGCTGCATGCACTGCTCTACTGGATGGCAGCATCTCTGTTCAGTCATTCAGTGAGCAGAACATTTCTAGGCCAGAGTTAAAGGAACTGCTCAGCAAAACCAAGCTAGAGCATCCTGCCGATAACAAGCCTAGCTTTGAGAACCTTTATTGTGAGGTGAATGTCACTCTTCAGGATGGCGAGGTGTTTCGTGAACACTGCGATACATTCTATGGACATTGGAGGAAACCTCTGAGTACAGATGATCTGAAGAAAAAGTTTCACTCCAATGCTTCCAGTGTGCTCTCAGTGGAAGCTACAGAAGGCATTATAGAGACTGTGGAGAATTTAGAAAAAGTAGAAGACTGTTCTGTGTTAAGTGCATTTCTAAAAGGGACACAGTCAACCAAAGTACTTTCAAAAATGTGCTTACCTTGAAAAATAATTGACATTTATTGACTTACATCCTCATAGCTACTCCTTTGCGCTTAAAATGAATCAGGAATCAAAAACTCCTATCATATTGCACTCCTGTAACATGAGCAGCATTTTAAGTCCAGTATTGCGGCTCTAGTTACAAAGATTGTGTTCTGCTGTAGCTGTGCCGTGCCACTGCCTGGAAGGAAGATCCTGTGCTGGCAGTGTCCCCCTTGATTATCCTTATACCATTACTAGAAGAGTGTTGGCTGCAGGCTCCACCAAGTACCACTGCTGCTGTGGGATTCCTGCTACCAAGTTCTCTGCTATGCTGGTGCCAGAAACAAAAGCCTCTTCCTAAATATCCTGCTTATATTAGAGGATTGGGTAGCGCAGACCTGAATTTTGGAGGGATAGGGCAGTCACTGCTTCTGGGAGGGAAGCAGTTGAAAGGTCAGGGAGAGAATAAGCAATTTATAGCTAATATATGTAAAAATTCTGTCTACGCTAAAAGAAAAACCCAAGGCACCAAAGTTGTAGTGCTTGGTATTCTCCAAGAAACATCCCAACTTCCCCATCAAACTTGGTCTTGTATAAGCTGGGTTGACAATCACACCAATGGTAAACAATACGATCCTTTTTGTTTCCACAGTTGGCTGCTCTAAAAACATAAGGACTCACTTTTGACAATCTGTTTCCTACCGTAGCTGAAAATTACACTTGTTCCAGTTGTGTGGCACTGGCTCTTTGTAACTCTGAGGTTGCCTTCACTATACCTTCCCTAACATCAGTCAAGTCACATTCCTCCAGCCACAATGTAGCTGACCAGACATGTTAAGGAATGTAGCCTTAGGATGCTTCCCTTGTTATTCACTGTCAGTACATAGGACTTGCATCGTTGACCCGAACTGTCTAACCTGTTGTTCCAGGAAAGTTTCAGAGGGGGTTTTCACTTTTAAAAGAACTCAATCAAGATTTAAATAATATTTTTAAATTAACATAACACTGCTGCTAACACATCCTTCCACATTTTACACTGAAGTCTATCAAATCAGATTTGTCTTTCTCCAGTACAGAAAGGTATATTTTAAGTCAGTAATTGTGACTATTGCAGGCAGATGGATATCTTAGTTCATGTGCTTAACGGAGCTTGTGCTTTACTGTAGAAGCCACGTGCGCCATTTGTCTTCTGCTTTAAGGGACTAATTTTCTTATTTGAGGATCTAAAAATAGGCATTTAGAGCCATATTTAGGCACCTGTAATAGCATTTGGGACTAGATTGCTTATTTAGGTGCCTACGTTTTAAAATCAGGCTAGTTTAGGAGGAATGTTTGATATGCTGTTCACGTCACTGTTATATCTTCAAAAGTTGTGGATGTTAATGTGTCTGGAGTGATACAACTTTTAAAAAGCTGTAACTATTTGTATAATTTTACTAAATATACTAAGACTTTCTGTGATGTTTCAATTTTGTACATGAGCTATTTGTTCATAGGGGCAGATCTCTTCCACCCCTCAGCCACTTTCATATCCAGGCTGCATGGATCACTCACAATGTTATGCCTTTTGGGATTAAGAAAAGCCTGTGTTTAAGTACATTTTGTTATGGTAGACGGAGGCCTTTCAGCATAACTACCACCACACTGGAATCCAATCACTTATTATACTGAAAGAATGATCAGCTTCTGTATCTACAGTCAGCTCAGCTAGATGAATGACTTCTACAGGGCAGCATACAAATGGTTGTTAGAGCGCACATCACTAGTTACATAAGCCTGGATCCATAAAGGGACTTAGGCACTGCAACAGTGAGTGTTGTGGCACCTTTTAGGCACCTAGAAAAATCACAGGAACAACACTGTGATCCACAAAGCCTAAGGTGGGCACCTGGGCTCCCTATACAATGAATCGAGGGAGAGAAGAACCTTAGAATGCAAGCCTTAAAAGCCAGCACACTAGGCTAAGCTAGGCAAGATGGCAACTAGAGGTATGACCTAAGCCCCTCCTCTCTCTGACGGAAGCCTCTATCTCTGCTTAGTAACCCACACACAGGAACATGTCTCCTGGAACAGGGTGGCTTTGGTGCCCAAGCAGTTTCTTGAAGGAATGAGAGAGGTGCCTGCTTTGCTGGAGGAGGCAGCAGAAGCATCTCCCACCTTATAACTCAGTGGTTAGAGTGCTTACCTGGTTCAATTGCCCCCTCTCTGCCATGGGGAGAAAGGATACCTGCGTTCAAATCCTACTTTCCAATAGAGTGCTCTAAGCATCTGAGGTGTAGGATATTCTGCTGGGGGGGCTACTGTTACAGCTTCAGGGTAACTGCACCTGTGTGACCCCTCTGTCTCTGGAAGGGACCCACATAAGATTTCTAGCTCCCACCTCTCTCCAGCCTGGTCATGGTTTTAAAGCTACACAGCTCCCTATCTCATACCATGATGTCCCCAGCAAGCCACTCTGCTTAAGGGCCAGTGCGTGTGTGTTGCTTTCTCTCTGAGGGCTATGAACAGGTTACAAGTGATCACACTGCTCCTTCTAAGCAAGTACCTTTGTCCTTAAGGGAAAAGGATTACAGAGAAAATTATTAAACAAAAAAAGTTTCTATACACATGCTAAAAGCTTACTAGATGTTACCAATCTGTTTTATGGGTGCTTAAAAGGCCAAAAGCCTTCCAACCCTTCTGCAAAGATTGGGGCCCTTAGACAGAAGGTCCTGTTCATTTGCTGGATCAGCAAAAAGGTTCTGAGTCTGCCTAAGCACAGCCTTTTTAAGGAAAAAGCCCTTTCTTCAATTTCCTAGACTCTGGGAGCCCAGCTTGAACAAATATCGGTGAACTTCTACCAGGAGGTACTACCTTCTGGAGTGTCTATAATGTGAGTGATTCACCTTAATCTCCCCCTCCAACACACACTCTCTCTGTCCCTGAGGGAGCTGCAGTGACTCTCCTCCCAGAGAGTAAAACACAAATAATCCCTGGCCCACAGTACTAAAATATACACCCCCGTTCCTCCCAAAGATACTGCATGTAGTTGCAACACCTGTCACAGGGCTCCTTCCATCTCTCTGTGAAGCTGTTCCTCTGTGGATAAATAATGAAGGTGTAATTGCAGCAGGGGGAATAGATCCTGGCTCTCCCATGGCCCAGCTGCATACCCCTACCTCCAGGCTACAGAGTTATTCTGTTGCTTCTTCTGTGGCCCAATGACTTTTCCACTGGATAAATAAGTAAAGTATTTATTCACACAGGGGAAAAGTCACTGGTGCAGAGAGGGGTGGTTAGGGAACCCACATGGGAGGTGGGCAACCTAGAGTCCAGTCCCTCTTGTCCAATCACTCTTTCAATATTTATCCAAAACAGCTTTAACATGAGATTGAAGGAGATTCACATCAGAATAGCTCAGTGATTAGAGCACTCTCCTCTTTGACAGGAGACTCCTGTTCAAATACTTTCTTCCCGTCAGGCACAGGGGGAAATTGAACCTTTGTCTCCCCTATCCCAGGCAAGCATTTTAAGCACTGGGTTAAAACTTGTAAGGTGGGCACTACCATCTCCTCCTGTGAAAGGTGCTGATCTGGTAGGTGGCCTGTCAGCACACCTGCTGGCTTGGCCCTGCCCATGAGACGGGCATCACCTGCCTATCTTCCCCAATTAGTGGATTACTCGAGGGCTTAGGCTAGAGATAGGCATAGACACCGACTCCGAGTGCTCTGGCAGCTCCCCAACCTGCCCCAGCTCACCTCTGCCTCTGCTCTGCCTACTCCCAGAGCATGCCGCCACAGCCTGGTTCTCCCCCTCCCTCCCAGCGCTTGTGCCGCAAACCAGCTGTTTCCCACAGCAAGTGCTGGGGGGGGGGGGGAGGAGAGGAAGAACACAGCATGCTCGGGGAAGAGGTGGTGCGTGAGCACCCACCAGTGTTGGCACCTGTGGAAGTAGGTGTCCAAACACCTAGAGTTAGTCAGTGTGCATACTCAGAGAATGAAACTTAGGTGCTAGAGGAGTTTAGGCACCGACAGGGTTTGACAGCAGTTTTGTGGATTTCAGCAGAGCCTAAACAGGAGACTGAGGCACTTAAGTATCTTTGTGGATTGGGGCCAAGGAACCCAATCCCGTCAAGTTTTTAGTACCAACTCCTACTGAAGTTAATGGAAGTTAACAGTTCTTGAAGGATTGTGCCTATAAGAAATGCTGACTTCTGCCCCCACATCTTCAATGAAAACAGATGGTTGAGTTTTTATAATCCACTTGGTTAAGTAAGTCTTGCCATTGCAATTTGTGTGTGCAAATATCTGTAACTGAACTAATTCCTCCTAACTGAATCCTTCATTATTTCATTTAAAAACAGCAAAGATAATGTAATTTGACTATAAAAAGATGATTTTCAACAAAATAAGTTGTGTTAAATTTCAAACACACTATCAACACATGAAACTGGTTTGTCTAGCTCAGGGGTTCTCAAACTTCATTGCATGCCACCCACTTCCAACAAAAATTACTATATGACTCCAGGAGGAGGGACAGACCTGAGCCTGCCTGAGCCCCCTGTCCTGGGTGGGGGGCCCAAAGCCAAAGGGCTTCAGCCCCAGACAGGAGGCTTGTAATCTGAGTCCCACCACCCACGGTGGAAGCCCACTGGCTTTGGCCCCAGCCTTGGGAGGTGGGGCTTGGGCTTTGGCCCTGGGCCCCAGCTAGTCTAATGCCAGCCTTGGTGACCCCATTAAAATGGGGTCATGACCCACTTTGGAATCCCAGCCCACAGTTTGAGAACCACTGGTCTAACAGATATTAGAGTTAGGCTTGTTTAAAGAGTCACAGGAACATAAACTCCAGATTATTTCCGTGGTTTTGCTGTATTGATTTAATTCTTCTGCTGTCACATTTTATTACACTTGGGTATTACAAAAACCCATTTAGGCAAGAAGGATTCCTACCCAAGTCTCAGAATAAAACTAAAGAGATGCTGCCTATATTTCAAATAAAGGGAGAAAAAAAGCTCACTAACTGTATTATTTTATTAATATAGTTAAGTACAGGTAAATGTTTTATATTTACTGGTAGTCATTTCATTGCTGGGGATAGCAGACATCAGAGTTCCCTCAGCTGAGTTTCAGGACTTCTGCCACCATTGTTCCTATTCCATCAAAGATTTCATGCAAAGGAGCTTTGCACATGAAAGCACAAGTAGTGACTATTTTGTTGGTGGCATCCACGTGGGATTCAGTTACATCTTTACAAATGTGCTTGCATCCAAGTTCTACTATAGCAGATGCAGTTTCAGCATCAGGAAACCTGTTAACATTAAACAGAAACATTGTAGCCATAAGATTTTGGCAATCCACTTCAGAGAGAGAGTTACAGAAATAGTCAAACCACTTCTAGCAGTGATGACTAAGGCTACGATTTAGTCACGGAGGTCGCAGAAGTCATGGAATCTGACTTCCAGCAACCTCTGTGACTTCAGCCTGCAGCAGTTGGAAGCTGCAGGCCTTGCACTGCCCGGGTGGGAGTGGGGGGCACAGGGAGCTGCAGGGTACCCCTGCTGCCTTTGGCAGCCCCCAGAGCTCCAAGCCACTGCAGGTATACCCTGCAGTCCATTTTGTCACAGATATTGTTAATAAAAGTCACAGACAGGTCACTACTTCCGTGACTTTTTCTTTATTGCCCATGACTTGTCTGACTTTTACTAAAAATATCCATGACAAAAATCTTAGCCTTAGTGATGACATGAAGGGATCTCAGACAGCCAGATTTGAGATTTACAGAGACTTCAGCAAAGAAAAGTACTCCCTCCCCACACCCTATTTATCACTGATCTGATATCTTGCCAAATCAAGATGTTTTGCCATCTACAGTATAAATCCATGACCTGGATAACTGCAAAACTCTAACAATCTTTTGATGAATTTATGAGGAGATGCCAATCATAACATTTGGCACTCAAAAATACATTCTCCTGAGGGGCCTGGAGGCAAGGTTAGGCTCTCAGCAACTTTAAATTGTCTTCTGGGCTCTTCTAGTCTAGAAGACCTTCCACCACATCTGCAGTGAACTGATTTTGTTCTAAGGAGAGGGGTGAAACAGCTGGTTTGCCCATCATCACTCTTGACTGAGTCTATAGAATTCCATTCAGATATCCTATCCGTAGTTAACATTACATGAAGCAGCGTTAACTTCTGCTAGGTTTCCTTCTCATCTGCTACCTGCCCATGCCTTCAAAACCATCCCACCAGAAAGGACAATTCCATTAAAACAATGAGAGTAAGGAGAATGTCAAAGGCATGACACGGGCCTAAGATTCTGTTAAGTTTATTTAGTGTTATCATTTGGACATCTGCCAGCAGCCAAGTTTAACATCCTGAAACATAGAACCACCATACCGAATCAGACCAATGGTCCATCTAATTCAGCAGTGGCCCAGTAGCAGATGCTTTAGGGAAGACAAGGACAACACAGGAATAC